TAAAAATGACTATTTGACCGAGTTTCATCACATCTCACTCAATTAAAATAAAGATAATTTTGTCAAGAAATAAAATGCAAACCAAAATCTGTTGGTTAGAACATAAGACAAGGAACACAGCGGTTATCGTTGTTCAAGAATCCATTTCACATTGTTCACTTGGAATCCCGAGTCAAATGATTGTGTTACATTCTGAAGTTTGTGATTCGATAAGAAAAGAAATCTGTTAGAATAAAGCACATATAACTTTTATACACAGTGTCTGTTGTTTGATCCCTTTCAAATGAATGAAATACTGTTTAAACTAACCAGACCTGGTTCTGTAAATGAATGAAATACTGTTAAAACTAACCAGACCTTGTTCTGTGAATGAATAAAATACTGTTAAAACTAATTACGCCTGGTTCTGTAAAGAACAGTGGAGATTTGTGACTGGTACCCGGATAAATTCACTTGATTTGATAAATATGTTTTTCATTTATTATTTAAATTGTATGTGTATATTGTGTGTGTTGTCCACGTGTTTGTCATGAGTGTATTTTGTTTATGTGTGGTGCGGTCCTCCTGTCCTATCAATAGACTAGTATTGTTGTTATTCAGCTTGTACATGTCACCTGTATTAAGATACACTGTATATAAGAAATATTATATCAGGTTGTTATTCACCTATTCTTTTGTTGTTGGTGAGTGAAGCTATAAATATATAACATACAGGTAGCCTATAGCAATATGTTTATAATATATATCTAACATATTCAAACTCAATCAACCGTTAACGAGAAACCAACAGTCCTATTCGGTATTAATTGATGAAACTATAATATATACACCTGTACAGGTAACATACAGGTAGTCTATAGAAATATGTGTATAATATATATCTAACATATTCAAACTCAATCAACCGTTAACGAGAAACCAATAAAAATAACCCTCTATACATATTGGTGTTCATGTACAATAAACCTGGACAACCGAAATTGGTGTTCATGTACAAGACAACCTGACAGTTGGAATTAGAATCTAGTAGAGTGATCTATAACGTGGATGATAACTAAAGAGAATGAGATGTGGTTTTGTTGTCTTAGTTATCTAGTAGACTGTTTACCCGCAAGACTGCAGTAAACTCTAGTGTTTTAATCGTTTTGAATTTCTGAGAAATTGTAGCAAGTTAATATATGTTGACACTGACACCCTGACGTATAAATGTAGATATTATCTGGTTTGCTCGACGAATTTACATTGATGTTGATTGAAACAAAACATTAAGTATGACTGACCGGGGAAGTAGAAATATCTCAAATACCCCTTGTATACAGTCCAATACCACATGTATATCTCACGTATACAGTTTGTTTACGTATTAACTGTCGTAGTTTAATATCACGTGATTGATGACCTCGGGGTCAAGGCAGGATAAAGTGTTCGAGGTGACTCGTGACGTCCATGTTGACTAGAGAGAAGAAGTTGTTGTATTGTTGTGTCAGTGATCTAGTAGACTAGTTACCTGTAAGACTGTAAACTATACAGTTCTAATAGTTTTGATTTTTATACCGTGTTTTATATTGGACTAACTGATTCATTCTGTATTTTATACAACCCGTGGAACAGTAAGACTGTAAACTACACTGTCGTATGTTATATCTGACTACTGATTGATTCTGTAGTTTTATCCTGTTTCAACTCGTATTGTATTCAACATGGCTAAACAGACAGATAAAGACGTGTGCATGATTTGTTTACATGACTTTGAAACACCGATTTTGATAGATTGTCAACATACTTTTTGTTTCATCTGTTTAGAAGATTATGTGAACAAAACCTCTACTAAAGACCAGTTCCAATGTCCATTATGTCGGTGTCTTATAGACGGGGGTATACAGCGTTTTAAACCTAAACTAAACATTGATGACAATTCTACTATTCCACAATGTGATGTATGTACTGAAGATACATGTCAATATTTTTGTCGAGACTGTGATCAATATTTATGTAAATCATGTAAAACCATGCATGGTAAGATGAAAATTTGTAAAGACCATGTTGTTTGTCGATATGATGAAAAACAAGTCTGTCAACAATCAAACGAACCAATGAAGGAAAAGACAACAGCCACTTCCGTCACACATCCGAAAGATTTCTGTCCAAACCATGAAGATGAGGCAGTAAAAATTTACTGTAAAGATTGTTTACTAGCCGTGTGTTTCAACTGTTTCGTGACCAATCATAACGGACATAATTTTTTAGATTTACAGAAGGAGGATGTCAGACAAAATATCAGACAAGACTTAAAAACGCTGAATGAAGATTTAGAAAAACAAATTACCAATTTTCAGAAACATTATGATAATTTGAATAGTAAATTGATTGAAGTAAACAACTGTAACAAATCAGAGTGTGACAAAGTAGATGCACAGGTGGATAAAATCTGCTCCGAATTTCGTAAAATTGGCGAAAATATTAAAAAGGAAATGCAGAAATCTAGTGAACAAGAAGAATCCAAATTTGGGAAATTAATGGAGGACATTAAAAGACTAACCGAAGATTTAAAAGCTAGTGTTAAGTATTCAGTGAATGTTTTAGAAGATTCGTCTGTTGTTCAAGTTCTGCAAAGAATACCTAAAGTTAGACAGGAGAAAGATGAAAGTTGTTGTAGAAAATTGGATATACCTGATGTAAGATATTCAACATTTCAAGTAGCAGAGATAGATAAAACTTTGTTAACTAATCAACTTGGTAAAATTGTAAGTTGTCATCAGAATATGTTTGAAGATGTTTTTAATGTGGATACTGTGAGAGATATAGTGTTTGGTAAACAACATGTAGTTCTAGGTTTTACATGGCGTATCTCTGTGTACTCATCATCATTATATGTTGTATTATTCCTGGATGACGTAGAAGATAAAAGTATTACGTCATGTAATGTTGACATCACATATAAAGTTATAAATAAAACAGATGATAGACAATCTGTAGTTAAACAATATAATGGGACTGTTAAACCTGGTAGTTTTACCTGTGATACTGATCTTATTGACTGGAAGAGACTCAGTAATCCTGTCAGTGGATTTATTGATCATCATAGAAACTTTACAATTCAAACAACAATTAATAAAATAACTAACATTGTACGAGATTAATAATTAGGTTACTGTTATTCTGATTAAAACTATTAACTTATGACCAATGTTCCTTTACAATTAAAGTAATAAATAATAATTGAACTTCTATCTGAATTATGTTTAGATAATCTACTCATTATCATGCAAGGGAGATAACCTGTTTTCTCGCGGACTCCGCAATATCCAATGCTATTAGTTGACCCAAATGTTTTCAATATATATTGATGACTCATGTAACCAAAGCTAGAAAATAAATTCAATTTTAAAATCGATTCGGCCTCTATTGCTCACCCTTTAATGCAAGGGAAAAGTTCGGGAAAAAACTCTACCCACGTGCAACACTGAGAAAATGGGGTCAAGTGACTGTACTCATGAGTATCGTTATAAATTCCGGTTTGTCCACAGTTAATACTTATTCTGATAAATACTACATGAACGTAACGTATTAAACACCAAAAACACTTCAATGTATGCCAGGCGTGTGGGGGTTTTGACCTGTATAACACCCATGACGTCATAGTTTGGGGCCTAAAAATGTCGGTTGAAAGTGTAAATGACGTTTCGTGAATAAATATTCCTGGTAGTGTTTCGTTTGATTGAACCTAATCCCATTGACCAGAAATTATGATTGGTCAATACTGGGACCAACAACCAGTACAATTTGTGTCCCAAATTATGATTGGTCAATACTGGGACCAACAACCAGTACAATTTCTGTCCCAAATTATGATTGGTCAATACTGGGACCAACAACCAGTACAATTTCTGTCCGACATTATGATTGGTTAATACTGGGACCAACAACCAGTACAATTTGTGTCCCAAATTATGATTGGTTAATACTGGGACCAACAACCAGTACAATTTCTGTCCCAAATTATGATTGGTCAATACTGGGACCAACAACCAGTACAGTAAAAAAAATCAGTCGGGATTCTCCAGGGAATAGAAACCACACCAATTGACTCAATGACAGATCTTCACGTGCACGTGTTAAACCACAGGACCACCCAACCCTGACCCTACAATTTATTATAATGGTGTCAATATTTCTTCATTATTCAAGTTACACACGGCTGAAAAGTTTGTTTATTTGGTTGTAATTTGGTCTATTTGAAGACAAACAAAATGAAATGAAATTGGGTTTAACGTCCTACAGTTCTGCTCCGAACTGGGCTAATGAAGACGGGCACACACCATACAGTGTGCTAAGAGGGAAATTTTGCCCGGGCAGCGGCGCTACGGCATACTCTTATATCGAATTCCAACTGTCAAGGGATCTTTTATGTGCACGCCAATGTGTACACGGGATATCATTTTTTCGTCCCATCCAAACTACTTGACAACTATCCTTGTCAGGCCCTCTGGCTTGCATCAGTGACATGGGGGAACCACGCCGGAAAATATGGAAGAACTTTCTCGGCCAATGCTGGGATCGAACACCCTACCTCCAGGCTAGCGAGCCAGTGTCTTACCCACTTAGCCACCGTGATTCCCAATTGAAGACAAACACATAAAATAGTAATGCTGATGTCAACCGCCGTGATCCCACTGGTTTATAGCTCACACAATCAACTTGGCAAAACATGAACAGAAACTGATCATCATCGAACTTAGTCAAGGTATGGATTTAATAGAACTATTAATCAAGTCTCCACACCATTATCAAACTTAGTCAAGGTATGGATATAATTGAACTAATTATACTCCAGCAGGTATAAAATTAATTATCTCTACTTAGCCTAAGCAGAAACAACTAATCACAAACATTCACCTAATAAACAACAACAAGTTGGGACATTCAACATGGCGTCTTAGATACAAACAAACAAACATGTTAATACAATATATTCTATTATATTAGCAGTAGTATATTCATGTGATATATACAATATTAGGTTATGTTTAATACACAACATTATGCCTGTATTATATACAAATTATACAATTAATACACAACATTATGTTTGAATCGTAAACAATGGCTACCTCCTATTATTACAGTTGTCCATTCCTCTCAAATTTCAGTATCAAGCAGATTAGAAACTGATTGAAATGTCTGATAAATAAACCAGATACAAACAGTTATGTACTATTCTGTCTGATAAATAAGTCTACAAAACACTGAACAAATCTTCAGGATCTATATTAGATACATTAGAATTATTAGAACTACTTTTACTCATCCGACCTCGACCACCATCATAGCTAAAAATATAAAATAAAATATATAAATTATATGAATGATTGACATTAAATAATATAAAATGGGGTTTAACGTCCTACTGTTCTGCTCCGACAGGGCTAATGTAGATTGTAGCACAAATTAGAAATTTGCTCGATTCTGATTGTTCGAAAAGTGTAGTTGGGTGGTCTAGTACAACCAGGGATTCGAAACCACGCCAGTTGACTCAATGACAGACCTTATGTTACAACATGCAAATGCGAACCATTATAAATTACCCCTCATTGGATGTATTTCTAGTTATTTTAGATAAATTATGTTTATAACAGTAATTACCTCTCATTGGACGTATTTCTAGTTATTTTAGGTAAAATAGGTTTACTTGGTGTCGCTGTTCTTACACTTCCTCTCTTTCTAGCTGACCTTAAAAATACAACATAATAACCATAATATTCACATATAGTTACCATAACAACCATCTGACTCAACACTGAAACCCTAGTGTATGAGTAATCTATCTGTTTAGTTAAACCCTACTGTGTATAAATTCTACCTTTTAACTATCGTAGAAGATGATGATGTAATCTCGTCATCCCCTAAATCTAACGATGAATCTAGATCACCAGTTTTACGGCCTACATTCTTTCTCTGACGTTTAGGTGGTGGCGTCTAAAATAAATAAATAATATCACTTTATATAGTACTTTGAATAGGTTTTCATCATTCAATAAATATTGATTATTGATATCATGTAATATTCAAAAATAAACAGAATACTGAAAGGGAAGTAACTCTATTAGTAAGTGCAGGAGGACCGCACTACACGCAAAACAAAAATCTACAAGATAAACCTGCAGACAAGACAGAAAATAGACATTGCACCAAATAAGCAAACATCAAATCCAGTGAATGATTTTATATAACCTACCTCTTCCTCATCTGTATTTTCTTCTTTATCGCTAGAAAATAAAAACAATGGTGATCAAACACAGACTCTACAAAATCTAAATTTTATCAAATAATGGGACTACTGCTGGCTTTCAGTAACAAATCATCAATATTGTAGGTGTTCAATAATTAAGGTCTATTTATGTAGCCAGGTACATGTAATGGCCAGGTGTTCAATAATTAAGGTTTATTTACCTTTCTTCTTTATTTGTTTCAACCTGTTGTTCTCTGTTTTGTCTTCCATTTCGGTCAGGTGTTCAATAATTAAGGTTTATTTACCTTTCTTCTTTATTTGTTTCAACCCGTTATTCTCTGTTTTGTCTACCATTTCGAGTAGAATTCGACTGTGACACTGTAAAATGTAAAATATAATCTTATCATCTTCATTTCTATTTTTATATTTTTTAAACCAATGTGTTTATACATGTCTCATACATGTTTTGTTTGCTATGTCTGTGTTCTGCTGTGCAGTTTTCCTGAACAGCCTATTAAAAGCAGACGAAACAAATCAGAATACTTTCAAAAGAATATTTTTTTTTCTGGTAATGTTAATACCAGACTGGCTAATGCAGTTGGCAGGTCATACGACCACTGGTTAATACCAGTTATATCATGCTATTGTTCACAATTGATACCAGACTGGCTGTCCTACAGTTATATCATGCTATTGTTCACAATTGATATTATTTTTCCTTTTGTACCAAAGAACCAGACAAATCTACCCTTGGGCACCTCAACCCTTTTTACCTTGTTAAAGATTTTAGTACTATAGACCAAACACAAAAATTATTTTTCTAAGATACTGCTACATCATTTAAAGAGAGCCTACCACCTGTTTTAATTTTAAATAAAGAACAATACAAATGGTCTCATTAATTATCGCATCAAATTGTTTTCTCCGGGTAAACTTGAATGGAAATGCATAAACATTGTAGGCTCAATTACCAAGTAAGCATCCCTGATAAATGTTATTGACAATAATACTGGATAATCATACATTTAACAACATGTATCAGATATTTAGGAAGGAATATATTGTTTTTGTATGACCTGATGATCAAGGGTGTGAAATAAAGATTTAGTCATCATAAATAAAACGGAATAAGTGTTACCTGATGTTCCATCATCTTTCTCATTATCATCACCTGTAATAACACATCAAATATAGCACGAGTTAGTGAGCGCTTGATGTATATGTTGATAAACTTGATCGTGCAACAGTTTCTGACTTAAAAACCACGGAAAAAAACTAGGGCAGTGGATAATCCAATAATTTATTGGGCTTCGATATTTGTAATAAACAGTCAGCGATTAAAGACAGCATCGTCTTGTATATGCAATGAATTCTCCTCCGGCTTCGCACCTGTTGCTAGGTACCGAGACAGCTAAGTCACTTGACACAACAATGACCTCTTTTCATCAATTTTTTATAGCAGGGGTATTCCCTGACAATTACAATGTTTTGAGAAGGATTTGAAGTAAAATTATAATAAATTAATTGATTTGAATATGTTTTTAAAAGTAATATAAAAATATTTTTTAACTGAAAATAATTATATGTAATATAAAAATCATTCATATTTGAGTCAAACTCATAAATCTAATAACAACTTGAGTCATATTAAAATATTCCCTGTTAAAAAATTATTATACCATATGTTAATTGTGAAATGATCTTGTTAGTTTCAAGTGGATGTTAAACCCTAAAGTCTCTCTTACCTGAACCATTTTCTTTTAAATTTCTTATTTTTTCTTTTTTACTATTTAATATGGCCACAAACTAAAAATAAAAGATATTTATGTAGATGATAATAATTAACCGGGAGATCCTGACTTTGATCTTGGTGTTTGTCGAGAAGGTTTCTTGAGATTTTCCAGGATGCTTTCCTCATGTCACTGGTTCAGCAAGGAAAAGGATGAAAACTGGTGGTCCATTGAGTACGAGTTGGTGTCCACATTAAAGAAGATCCAACAACTCGAATTTGATAAAGAGTAGGCAGAAACTACACTGTCCTGTAAAAATTACCATCACTAGAAGGCTTGATTTTGCTTTAACTCTGTAATCTTATCAAGTCTTTCACGTAATACCCTGCATATTTCATCATTAATTGTAGGTCGCCATCTCTGATTTGAGTGTTTATGTGTCCCGACCTCTGATTGCACAACGCTACTGTTCATGTGTGTGCAGTAAAGGGAGATAATGGCTAGATGTTGTAAAACTTGCAGTCATTGCTTCAGGAACATGGTGCTGTCCAGTCAAAATTTCTGTTCATTAAACCAATTTTCCTCCTTCAATAACCTGTGGTACAGGAACGTTAGACAGTAAACCATTTTTAGTTTTATTCTAACCCTACCCCTAACCCGTGGTACAGGAACGTTGGACGGTAAACCTTATTTAGTTTTATTCTAACCCTAACCCTCAATAACACGTGGTACAGGAACGTTAGACGGTAAACCATTTTTAGTTTTATTCTAACCCTAACCCTAACCCTCAATAACACGTGGTACAGGAACGTTAGACAGTAAACCTTATTTAGTTTTATTTAATAAAATATTTAAAACTAAAATTAAGAATCAGATTTTCTTATTGTGTCTTTTATTACACAAATACAAATGATAAATCATTCATACTTGGATGACATGTTATTTACCTTTGAAAATAAATCTTTTTCCATTTCTTCTTTTGCAGCAACACATTTTTCTAGCCTCTATAAAAGAAAAGTTGAAATTGGAAACAAACCTACAGAGCTGTTATTTTTTGTCATTGGGAAGAATTGTCATATGGTTAAAAAATATTTCAATAATTCACTTGCACGTAAGTGTCTTTAATAGAGGGAGGAAACCAGAGGTCTCAGGGAAAACCAACGAGGTTGACAGGCGACTCTACACCTTAATGTGAAAATATTTAAAAATTACTGATTCACGAAATGTCAAAATAATAATCTAAAAACATGTAGAATGGACTAAACAGGCCCAAACGACTGCCATTCAATTTGGACTATTCAAGTATTTTACCAAACATAAATGATTAGAAATTTCAAAATATTTTTTTTCAATTTTCACTCATCCTAGGTATCCTCAGTGGTATCATTCCATTCTACTCCACCATACCCTGGGTTCATTCACGGGGGAGACACAGTCAGTATCATCAGTGGTATCATTCCGTTCTACTCCACCATACTCTGGGTTCATTCACGGGGGAGACACAGTCAGTATCATCAGTGGTATCATTCCGTTCTACTCCACCATACCCTGGGTTCATTCACGGGGGAGACACAGTCAGTATCATCAGTGGTATCATTCCGTTCTACTACACCATACCCTGGGTTCATTCACGGGGGAGACAGTCAGTATCATCAGTGGTATCATTCCGTTCTACTCCAGCATGCTCTGGGTTCATTCACGGGGGAGACACGGTCAAATTATCTGCCCTTGATACTTGTGCTATTTTTATCGACCAATCGAGTGGGTGAAGGGAATGTAAATCTTTTAGAGAGCTATCTTGTGGGTAGAAAACAGTGTATTTTAGTTAATTGCAAATCGTCGTCTGAATCTGTTTTGTCATCTGGGGTTCCCCAAGGTTCTGTTCTTGGTCCGATTTTATTTACCCTCTATACGTCACCATTAGGAAATATTGTCAGAAAATATGGTCTCAGTCTTCATTTGTATTTGATGATACTCAATTATATATTTCATTTACACCTAATTGTCCATCTTCTTTCAATTTATCAAAATTGCAACTTGAGAACTGTATTAGTGAAATTAGAAAATGGATGTCAAAGAACTTTCTAAAATTGAATGATGATAAAACCGAATATTTGTTATTAGGCTCAAGGCATCAATTAAGTAAATCTGCACAAGATAACCCCCCTGTTGTAATTGGTAATTGTGATATATTTTCATCTTATTCTGCTCGTAATATTGGCCCTATCTTTGATAGTTTTATGCTTATGGGAGCTCAAGTAAATAATATTTGTAAATTGTGCTATTTTAATATTAGAAATATAGGTAAAATACGTAAATGTGCAACTGTAGAGGCCACTAAGTCACTTGTTAATTCTCTGGTCACTTCTCGATTAGATAACTTTAATTCACTTTTAGTTGGTTTACCTTTAAAGCTTATAGATAAATTACAAAAAGTACAGAATACTTCGGCTAGACTTGTTACTTTAAATAAGAAATGTGACCACATAACTCCTGTTTTATATAATTTACACTGGTTACCTGTTAAATATCGAATTGATTTTAAGATTTTATTACTTACTTTTAAATGTTTAAATAATTTAGCTCCTGTTTACCTCTCAGATCTTTTAGAACTTTATACACCTGGCCGAACATTACGTACATCAGATAAACTACTTTTAAAGCCCAAAACTGTTCAACTAGTCTCCTATGGTCAGCGCTCTTTTAGTTATCAAGCACCTGTTTTATGGAATAATCTACCATTTAGTTTAAGATGTTGTACATCTCTGTATTCTTTTAAAAAACAACTTAAAACACATTTATTTAATCAGGCTTTTAACTGACTCTGTATACAATCGTTAACATGCCCATAATCTTGTTGTTTATGTGTGATTTACATTGTCACTTTGTAAAGTGCCCCTGAACATGTTATATGAAAGGGTGCACTATAAATATGCTGTAATAATAATAATAATAATAAACAATGACGCTATGACTCGTATGTAAACTGTTTTTTGATTGGTTCAGAGTATAATGAAGTAGAATGAAACCCAGGGTATTGTGTGGAGTAGAATGGAGGGTATTGTGTGGAGTAGATATCACTGGGGATACAGAAGATGATTTTCACTATACGTACACACATACTACATTAATATCTGCTTTTTGGAACCGGGGGATCACGTGGCTAAATGGGTAAGATGCTGGCTCGCTAGTCTGGAGGTCGGGTGTTCAATCCCTGCATTGGCCGAGAAAGTTCATCCAGATTTTCCAGCGTGGTTCCCCCTTGTCAATGATGCAGGACGGAGGGCCTGACAAGGACAGCTGTCTAGTCCTTCGGATGAGACAAAAAACCGAGGTCCTGTGTATATATTGGAATGCACGTAAAAGATCCTCTGGCAGTTGGAATTCGATATAAGAGTAGGTGATAGTGCCGCTGCCCGGGCAAAATTTCCCTCATAGCACACTGTATGGCGTATGCCCGTCTTCATTAGCCCAGTATAGGAGCAGAACAGTAGGACATTAAACCCCATTTCATTTCATTTCATTTCTGCTTTTAGAACCATTTTCAACTATTTTAAGTTTCCAAAGAATAGTCGAGCCATACACACTTTAAACAAATAGATTATTATTATCTTATGAGGTGGGAAAATATTACAGCCATCACTTTGAGACAATATTACCCAAAGGCTTCACAATTAATGGCTTGGAACAGTTGCTCATGCCTGGTGAGGGTTCGCACTGCTCTTGTATATATATATATATATATATTTATTTATGTTGATACATGCCTGATAACGACTTGTGAAATCTTGTTGAAACGTCACAGTGAAATAAACCATAGTAATTGTTTTTTGAGACAGTACTACATTGTAATCATCTAAAACGACAACGCTCGATCTTGGTTGCTAACGATTAAATAAACAGATTATTATCTTATCAAGGTGCGTAAATATTACAGTAATATCAAATATATTTTAAATACTACAGTAATATCAAATATATTTTAAATACTACAGTGTCATCACCTTTAACATCATCATCCGTTCTTGTGACAGTCTGTTATTATCTGTTTCTAGCTGTTTAAGTTGATGTTGATCTCGTTCACTGTTGACTACGCTATGATTTAATATCGTACATTTACCAGTCCCTGGGTCATCTTTTAACATTAGAGTTATACATCCTAACTGAAACTATAGAACATATACCAGTCACTATAAACCTATACCAGTCACTATAGAACATATACCAGTCACTTTAAACATATACCAGTCACTATAAAACATATACCAGTCACTATAAACATATACCAGTCACTATAAAACATATACCAGTCACTATAGAACATATACCAGTCACTATAGAACATATACCAGTCACAGTTGGAATTTGATATAAGAGTAGGTCGTAGTGCCGATGTCCGGGCCAAATTCCCCTCATAGTACACTGTATGGCGTATGCCCGTCTTCATTAGCCCAGTTCGGAGCAGAACAGTAAGACGTTAAACCCCATTTCATTTCATTCCCTTGAGAGCGTCCACAAGATTTTTCAAAGTGATCAAGAGCATAACTCTGACAGTAATTATCGGAAATCATTGAAAATCAATAGGCTTCTTCGTCTCATGACAATAAACACTGTGAATGAATTACTTTAGCCTCTAGAAGGTCCACAAGTAATTATGGAAGCTGGACGGACGGAGGTGATGACAATATTTGACCATATTTCAATGTGGGCGTATAAAAAGTGAACAAACAATTTACCTTAATATCATCTGAGGTGACGTGTTTTTTCCACACCAATTCAGCCGTATCATCATTTTTAATCTTAACACTGTATTCAAAATTCACTTCATCATCATCTTTGATGAAGGCTTTTTCTGTTTGATTAAAATACGAGGTAAAATCCATTTTTAACCTTTTACGCTGTTTGTCCATATTATCAGCTGTAACTACATATATAATAAAATGGAATTTAAAGATACATTGTCACGAAAGTATTTATCTGGTGGTTATTTCCAATAAAAGTATGGCAAATTTGATATATTTTGAAAGTATAGACCCACAATCTTACTACAAAAATATTGGATTACCCCAAAAATACCCTTGGGGCAAGAACTGGGCAAAAATGTCAGGGTTTCACTGACTGGCAACCCGACTGTTGTCTGCCAGCTTATTGTGCGCTAGCTTGACTCAGGGAGCGGTTGTTATTTTTTGATCAAATAGTTAGGTGGTTTGGGGAACATTGAGGGGTGTCAACGTACAAACGACTCTGCAATTAAACGTCGGAAAACGTCACAGATTATCTTGGTCCAAATATATCATCAAATCACACATTTTCTACTCAGAAAATTATCTTTAAGTGAGAATCGTGTGGCTTATGTAGGATGGTTGTAATAAGATGATGAAGAGGGAGGGCCAGCTGGTAGATTGCCCATAAATATATATTTAATTCTTTTTAATGTCGGCATGGCTGGTACTTCTGCTGCTAAATAGGAAGTGGGAGTTGGTTGAACATAAATAAATTGTAGTTTATTTATGGTATCAATGTTCTTGTTGATGGTAGGAGCGGGCAAAGTTTGCTTCAACCTGGCACATAAAATGTATGTTGGCGGCACTGGTTGTAATTTTTAATTATTTGGCTTTAAACTTCAAATGAAGTAGGAGAATGCTCTATTTTGCTGTAAACTTTGAAATGAGAAACTGCAAAACAGAGCTCTTAAAATGCTATCTGAAGTAAAAATTGAGCATGATGTATAACTTACAAGTTCCTGTCCATGTTGATTGTCCATCCGTTAGTAACAAGTTAAAACCATCTTCTTTATCCACTGGTATCGTCGTTAACAGAAAAAACTGCTCACTTCCATCGGTTGTAATCTTTGAAAGAACCTTTTTACTCATGCTTTTATTTTAAACTAAAACAGATACAGTGGATATTTAATAAAAGCTAATATGAATGGGGTTGCTATCATGGATATTTATTAGAAAATTAAAATTAAAATGAATAGAGTTGATATCGTGGAGTGAGATTGGGGGATTGATTGATGTCATGTCAGTAATCAGGCCTACTACTGTACGCCATTATTAGGTAGGCCTACATCGACCTGCCTAATATAAAGCAAAGCTCTTTTCCAGTAACACAGGAGCGTAACTAAAACTGTCACCAACAGACTGTCGGTTAAAAAAAAATTCAGACCGGAACCGGATACACTGAGCAATGAGCATGTCAATTTACCAAATCTCACCCAAGCGAGATTACGCATCTCATAGAAATATTTCTACGACCCGTCTAATCAATGACATCACATATATTTTTGATGTCAATGAAAATAATTCTCACAGTCACACTGTTTTGTTCTTTTTTTTTTAAAACAAAATTAATTAGGCCTAATCATACAATTTAGATCTAAATTAAAATCAATTCGGAAAAACGAAATTTTTTAACATTATTTGTATCACTTGAGAAACTGAAATATGAATGTTTTATATTTAACAATAATCACATCATCAGCTTCAATTCGCTTAACTCAGTCAGGCAATGCCTGTTCAGGCTGTTGTTAAATATGCCTATGGATCTTCCGGCATCCACATCAATGAGGCGGGTATCAAAATGGTGTTTGAAGAATATATTGACACGTATAAAAATTCAATCTATAAAAAAATAACCTGTTAACCTCTGTAATTTAATGATTTCACTATATAAAGTTCATTGTTTATTAACACATTTCTCCACTTTTGACAGCCACATGGTAACAAAACGGCAGATTGGTAAATTTAAACGAAACGAAATATAAAATTATACATCTGCGACCTTTCAGTCTATTGCAAATAGAAATTTACAAACTTTTTAGCAATACAAAAAAATAGTATTCTGATATTTGTTTCAGTAAAATAATTTTTAAAAGGTATAATACTTCTGATATCATTCCGTAGTAGATTAGTTGATTAATTTTTGATAGTGCGTTAAATGACTCAAAGATCGCGTCTCTTCCATTTGCAAACTTTGATTCTATTGGTCGATATTGGTCGATATAAATAGATGATCCACTCAAAATAAACACTGCGATATCACTTATGTGGAAGCAGACATTAAACACCACCACCAAAATACTTTATCGGTTTTCGGTAAAATCAACACGTTGAACTTTCTCACGGTCTGCAGAAAATGGTTAGTAAATTTGTCAATTAAATATTATTGAATATGGAATATTCTATTAACAGTTTTACGTTTTAACAATGACACAAAACGCCTGATTGATAGAGCACACAAAATTAATGAGCGGTGAAACATGTGTGATTCTATTCTATTACTTAATTCACGAAACCCGACTAATCATGGAAATGATAAATTGAAAGTAAGACTATCAATCGGCTACCCAGCTGAGCTCCATTAGTAGGGTGGCCCATGTACTCACAGAAATACAATTACCCCTAAGTACCACTAGAATTTCCAGTCAACAAACTCGGTCGATGGTTGGGCTAAAATTTGGGAATAGTTTGTTTGACTGAAATAAAAAACGCACTAACTCAAATATGATTACATCGTTTTTTGTCTATTTTGATTATTTTCCCCCAAGTTCAAATCTGACAGTTGAAGTCACAACTTTATTGAGATTTTTCTTCCAATAGCAATCCCCTAAACAACGTGTTGACCTCTCTTTGCGAGTAAGGTCGTCATCTAGGGTTAAGGGTCAACGACTGACGTCATCAACTGAAAACAATGGCCGTACTAATGTAAACAACTTGAATTAAGTCTGTGTCCGATGCATAAAACTGATGACAGCATAGTATCTAGTCGCTTCAGTATTTGACATTTTCATGTGGCCTCGCCCAGTCGATAAAATCAATCAGTTAGTTCAGTCGAATAATCCAGTCGAATAAACCAGTCGAAAAGTTCAGTCGAATACTTCAGTCGAATAATTCAGTCGAATAAACAAGTCGCTCAATATTAAGCAGCGGTGGCAGCGGGCTAAGATAATATAGTAGCAAATCATGCTCGTAGCCATAGCTGAAGGAGCCGGGGGCATGGGGTAGGGACCGGGGGGCTTCCCAACTAATTTCAAGAAATGAAAAGAAATGAAATGGGGGTTCAACGTCCTTCTGTTCTGCTTGGAACTGCATGGGCTAATGAAGACGGGCAGACGCCATACACTGTGCGATGAGGGAAATTTTGCCCGGACAGCGGCACTACGGCCTACTCTTATATCGAATTCCATCTGTCAAAGGGATCTTTAACGTCCACTCCAATGTAGACACGGGACCTCGGTTTTTCGTCTCATCCGAAAGACTAGACAGCTGTCCTTGTCCGCCTCGAAAAGAATAGAGTCCCTATATATGATATAAACGAAGAAACGGATGGGGTGGGGCGGGGGTGGGGGGGGGATGAGGTATTTGACATTTTCATGTGGCCTCGTCCAGTCGATAAAATCAGTCAGTTAGTTCAGTCGAATAATCCAGTCGAATAAACCAGTCGAATAATTCAGTCGAAAAGTTCAGTCGAATAAACCAGTCGAATAGTTCAGTCGAATAATTCAGTCGAATAAACAAGTCGCTCAATATTAAGCAGCGGTGGCAGCGGGCTAAGATAATATAGTAGCAAATCATGCTCGTAGCCATAGCTGAAGGAGCCGGGGGCATGGGGTAGGGACCGGGGGGGCTTCCCAACTAGTTTCAAGAAATGAAAAGAAATGAAATGGGGTTTTAACGTCCTTCTGTTCTGCTTGGAACTGGGCTAATGAAGACGGGCAGACGCCATACACTGTGCGATGAGGGAAATTTTGCCCGGACAGCGGCACTACGGCCTACTCTTATATCGAATTCCATCTGTCAAAGGGATCTTTTACGTCCACTCCAATGTAGACACGGGACCTCGGTTTTTCGTCCCATCCGAAAGACTAGACAGCTGTCCTTGTCCGCCTCGAAAAGAATAGAGTCCCTATATATGATATAAACGAAGAAAGGGGATGGGGTGGGGCGGGGGTGGGGGGGATGAGGTATTTGACATTTTCATGTGGCCTCGTCCAGTCGATAAAACCAGTCAGTTAGTTCAGTCGAATAATCCAGTCGAATAAACCAGTCGAATAATTCAGTCGAAAAGTTCAGTCGAATAAACCAGTCGAATAGTTCAGTCGAATAATTCAGTCGAATAATCCAGTCGAATAATTCAGTCGAATAAACAAGTCGCTCAATATTAAGCAGCGGTGGCAGCGGGCTAAGATAATATAGTAGCAAATCATGCTCGTAGCCATAGCTGAAGGAGCCGGGGGCATGGGGTAGTGACCGGGGGGCTTCCCAACTAGTTTCAAGAAATGAAAAGAAATGAAATGGGGTTTTAACGTCCTACTGTTCTGCTTGGAACTGCATGGGCTAATGAAGACGGGCAGACGCCATACACTGTGCGATGAGGGAAATTTTGCCCGGACAGCGGCACTACGGCCTACTCTTATATCGAATTCCATCTGTCAAAGGGATCTTTTACGTCCACTCCAATGTAGACACGGGACCTCGGTTTTTCGTCTCATCCGAAAGACTAGACAGCTGTCCTTGTCCGCCTCGAAAAGAATAGAGTCCCTATATATGATATAAACGAAGAAACGGATGGGGTGGGGCGGGGGTGGGGGGGGGGGGGATGAGGTATTTGACATTTTCATGTGGCCTCGTCCAGTCGATAAAATCAGTCAGTTAGTTCAGTCGAATAATCCAGTCGAATAAACCAGTCGAATAATTCAGTCGAAAAGTTCAGTCGAATAAACCAGTCGAATAGTTCAGTCGAATAATTCAGTCGAATAATCCAGTCGAATAATTCAGTCGAATAAACAAGTCGCTCAATATTAAGCAGCGGTGGCAGCGGGCTAAGATAATATAGTAGCAAATCATGCTCGTAGCCATAGCTGAAGGAGCCGGGGGCATGGGGTAGTGACCGGGGGGCTTCCCAACTAGTTTCAAGAAATGAAAAGAAATGAAATGGGGTTTTAACGTCCTACTGTTCTGCTTGGAACTGCATGGGCTAATGAAGACGGGCAGACGCCATACACTGTGCGATGAGGGAAATTTTGCCCGGACAGCGGCACTACGGCCTACTCTTATATCGAATTCCATCTGTCAAAGGGATCTTTTACGTCCACTCCAATGTAGACACGGGACCTCGGTTTTTCGTCTCATCCGAAAGACTAGACAGCTGTCCTTGTCCGCCTCGAAAAGAATAGAGTCCCTATATATGATATAAACGAAGAAACGGATGGGGTGGGGCGGGGGTGGGGGGGGGATGAGGTATTTGACATTTTCATGTGGCCTCGTCCAGTCGATAAAATCAGTCAGTTAGTTCAGTCGAATAATCCAGTCGAATAAACCAGTCGAATAATTCAGTCGAAAAGTTCAGTCGAATAAACCAGTCGAATAGTTCAGTCGAATAATTCAGTCGAATAAACAAGTCGCTCAATATTAAGCAGCGGTGGCAGCGGGCTAAGATAATATAGTAGCAAATCATGCTCGTAGCCATAGCTGAAGGAGCCGGGGGCATGGGGTAGGGACCGGGGGGCTTCCCAACTAGTTTCAAGAAATGAAAAGAAATGAAATGGGGTTTAACGTCCTTCTGTTCTGCTTGGAACTGGGCTAATGAAGACGGGCAGACGCCATACACTGTGCGATGAGGGAAATTTTGCCCGGACAGCGGCACTACGGCCTACTCTTATATCGAATTCCATCTGTCAAAGGGATCTTTTACGTCCACTCCAATGTAGACACGGGACCTCGGTTTTTCGTCCCATCCGAAAGACTAGACAGCTGTCCTTGTCCGCCTCGAAAAGAATAGAGTCCCTATATATGATATAAACGAAGAAAGGGGATGGGGTGGGGCGGGGGTGGGGGGGGGATGAGGTATTTGACATTTTCATGTGGCCTCGTCCAGTCGATAAAA